TTTATTTATTTCTAGGAGAGAGAGAGAGAGAGACAGCGTGAGTAGGGGAGGGTCAGAGAGAGAGGGAGTCACAGACTGAAACAGGCTCCAGGCTCTGAGCTGGCAGTCAGCACAGAGCCCGACGCGGGGCTCGAACCCACGAACTGCGAGATCATGACCTAAGCGAAAGTCGGACGCTTAACCGACTAAGCCACCCAGGTGCCCCCCCAGGATTCACTTTCTTAAGCTTGCTGGTGATCCTTTGCTCTTCAGGCTGCGGGAGGGTGATGCACACGTGTCCTTTTTTATTCCTTAAACTGCGTGTGTGTGTTTAAATAGATTTAACTGTAGATGTGTTTAACAGTCACTTCGGCACGTGTTAAGCATTCATTATAAAAACATTTAAGTGCTCATTTTAAATCTTTTTTTTTTTTTTTTTTGTGCTTGTTTTCAATCTTTATGGAGACGCCTGAATTATTCTCCAAAAGGACTGCCATTTTATACCTTCGCCTACAGCGTGCAGACTGCCCGGGACGCTCCGTCCGCAGGGGCAGGCGCCGGGGTCTTGTCCTGTGGCCGCTGCCGGGGGTCCCGCCAGCGCCTCTCTGCGCGTGTGTTCAGTGGGCTGTTCCTCGCGGGTCCCGGGCCTTCCGTGCGAAGGTCAAGTCTCCCTGTTTCCGCTCCTGTCTCTGCCGTTCTGAAGGCCGCGTGCGAGTCGGAAGGTGCGCTGGCAGCTGCGGGAAACACGGGGTCACCGGCCTGGGAGCTGCCCGCAGCCGGGGCTGGGCCCTCCTGCCCGGCGCCCCGCACCCTAACCCCGGCTCCCCGGGAAACTGGTTTTTATTTCCTCCCACTGGGCTGGGGTCCTTCTCCGCTTCCCGGGACCGCCCGCCGGGTTTTGAGCGTGAGGAGAAGCAGGTTTGCGCGTGGAGCCGGGGGTGCGGGTCCCCCAGGGAGCACCCCTCTTCCTCGTCCGCGGCTCCCGGACGCAGGCGGAGGAGGGGCCCTGGGGAGGGCAGCCCGGACCGGCCTTTGTGACCAGGAAGGCGGGCCTCGGTGGTTTCCCGCGGGAGAGTGAGCGCCCGGGGCCGTGCGGGGCCAAACCCACGCTCCTCAGGGAGCCCGGGAGCCCGGCAGCCGCAGCCTAGCCCTGCTGCGCCGCCGGGGCGGGTGTGGCGGGTGTGCGCTGGGCTGCGCCCCTCTGTTAGCGAAGCTCTGCAGGGCCTTTGCCTCCAGGTTTATTCTGAGAGAGAGAGAGAGAGAGAGAGAGAGTCCCCAGCAGGCTCTGAATGGCCAGCGCAGAGCCCCACGTGGGGCCCCAACTCGTGAACTGTGAGCTCACGACCTGAGCCAAGATCAAGAGCCAGATGCCTAACTGACGGAGCCCCCCAGGCGCCCACTTCTTTATTCTTTATCTACAATTTTCTACAAACGGTGCGTGATAAAATATAACGCTGCAGGTGGAGCAGTGCTGGTCCTGAGCCGCTCTCCACCCTTCTCTACCCCTCTCCTCTATCCACATCCTCCAACCTCTCCTAACGGCCGTCGTCCCAGTGTGTGCCAAGTGGTATTTCGTGGAGGAGTTGGTTTACGTCTTCCTGGTGTCACATAATGTTTTGCGTCTTTCATGTGCTTATTTAAGGCTGTTTGTGTGTCTTCTCTGGAGATATGTCTATTGAGATCTTAGCCCACTTTGAAAAATGGGATTGTCTTTTTACTCTGGAGTTGTAAGCATTCTTTATATATTCTAGATGTAAGTCTCTTACTAGGTATATGATGTTCAAATATTTTCTCCCATTCTGAGGATTGTCTTTTCACTTTCTTGATGGTTTACTGCAAAGCATAAAAATTCGTAATTTTGATGAAGTCCATCTTCTTTTTTCTAGCTTGTGCTTTTGAGGTTATATCTAAAAATGACCATTGGCTAATCTAATGTGCACAACAATTTTCTTCCAAGAGTTCTGTAGTTTTCATTCATGTATTTAGATGTCTGATCCGTTTTGAGTTAGTTGTTGCATATGGTGTGAGGAGGGGGTCCAGCGTCGTTCTCAGATAACCAGTCCTAGCTCCGTTTATTAGAACCCATTGCTTGTCTTGGCACGTGTCATGTAAGGTAATTTTGCTGTAATAACTATACATACTCATTCTGTTTCTCTGGTGGAAGCCTAACTGATACAAATACATCAAGGTGAACACATAGGTAGTATAAATGACAATTTAAACATATTTTTGCTTGTAACTGTTTTATTCTATCTGATTTATTTTTAATCTTTTTTAAAAATGTTTATTTATTTTTTGATAGACGGAGTGTGAGCAGGAGAGGGGTAGAGAGAGAGGGAGACACAGAATCCAAAGCAGGCTCCAGGCTCTGAGTGTCAGCACAGATCATGACCTGAGCCAAAGCCGGAAACTTAACTGACTAAGCCACGTAGGCATCCCCATTCTATCTGATTTAAAAGACAGAGAGAGAGAGACACACGGAATCCGAAGCAGGCTCCAGGCTCTGAGTGTCAGCACAGATCATGACCTGAGCCAAAGCCGGAAACTTAACTGACTAAGCCACGTAGGCATCCCCATTCTATCTGATTTAAAAGACAGAGAGAGAGAGACACACGGAATCCGAAGCAGGCTCCAGGCTCTGAGTTGTGCTGTGCTGACGCACAGAACCCGATGCGGGGCTCGAACACATGCACTATGAGATCATGACCTGAGCCGAAGTCGGGCACTTAACCAACTGAGCCACCCAGGCACCCCTGAAACAATAATTTTTCATTAGAGAATTGGGGTCATGGAGCAGCCACCCCAAGAACCAAAGCGATGGGTGAATGCAGAGAACATAGGGCAGTGTGTGCAGCAGACGCTGCTGAACCCGGTCATGGTAGGGACATCTAAGCAGCAGCTTCAACAAATTCCTGGATGCTGTGTGGTCTCACATGAGAGGTAAAAATGCTGGAGACTCACTAGGTTCTTGTGGTGAACATTGGAGGAAAATTCTCCAGTTTGGTCAGGGGAAGGGAAAAATAGCCATTCTGAAATATGTCCAAGGGGCGTTGGGGGTGGAGAAAGAACCGCTTTGAAAAACGTCCAGAGTGTTCTCCACAAGTCCTGCCCAGCAAGGGAAAGACTACAAGAGCTTCATCTGACATGGGGGAGAGGAAATTACACAACCCCAGCTCTCTCTGGTCTTCATGTCTCCCTCAAAAAATCAAAAATAGAACAACCATAGGACCCAGCAATAGCACAGCTAGGAATTTACCCAAGGGATACAGGAGTGCTGATTCACAGGGGCATATGCACCCCAGTGTTTATAGTAGTGCTTTCAACAATAGCCAAATTGTGGAAAGAGCCTAAATGCCCATGAACTAATGAATGGATATCAGGAAGATGTGGTTTATATACACAATGCAATGCTACTTGGCAATGAGAAAGAATGAAATCATGCCATTTGCAGCAACGTGGATGGAATTGGAGGGTATTATGCTGAGTGAAATAAGTCAGAGAAAGATACCATATGCTTTCACTCATATGTGGAACTTGAGAAATTTAAGGCAATGGGGGAAGGGAAGGGAAAAATAGTAACAAACAGAGAGGGAGGGAGGCAAACCACAAGAGACTCTTAAATACGGTGAACAAACTGAGGGTTGATCAGGGAGGAGAAAATGGGGGATGGGCACTGAGGAGGGCCCTTGTTGGGGTGAGCACTGGGTGTCATATGTAAGTGATTAACCACGGGAATCTACTCCCAAAACCAAGAGTGCAATGTACACTGTGTTAGCCAACTTGACAATAGATTATTTTTTTAAATAGTAATAAAAATAAAATAGCCTACAAGGCCCTGTATGACCCAGACTCTCCCCCCCAAAAAAAGGAAGATTGTAGGATGGCTCAATCGGTTGGGCATCTGACTTCAGCTCAAGTCATGATCTCACAGTTTGTGAGTTTGAGCCCCTAGACAGGCTCTGTGCAGACAGCTCAGAGCCTGGAGCTGCTTTAGATTCTCTCTCTCTCTCTCTCTCTCTCTCTCTCTGCTCCTCCCCTGCTTGTGTGCACTCATGCTCGCTTGCGCTCTCAAAAATAATTAATTAAAAAAAGAGTTAAAAAAAAGAGTTTTTTTTAGAACAAGGGAGAGAAAAAAGGACAACAAACGACACTGAAGCGTCCACCACCCACAGATACAGCGAACAGTAAATGCAGCCCGACTCAGACAGATGAACAGAACACTTGATGCCAAGGCTCTATATCAGTTCCGATTTCTCAATACATAATGTCCAGCTTCCAGCAAAAAATTATGAGGCACACGAAGAGGCACGAATAAAACCCCCCACACAGTCTGAAGAGACAGAGCAAGCGTCAGAACCAGACTCAGTCTGTCATGGGTTTTGGAATTATCAAACCAACCAATTCTGTCTTCCATATCTGGAATTTGGTTATTTCAAGCATGTTGAATCCTACCATATGTAACCTTTGAGATGGGTTTCTCCTCCTCCCCCACTGGGCATAATTCCCTTGAGAGCTTTCCAAGTTGCCTGCGTGAAGAGTTGATTCCTTTTTGCTGCTGAGTAGAGTTCCATGGCATGAACCTGCCAGTTTAAGCAGCACCCTTGAAAGGACACTGGGGCTGTCTCTGGTTTCAGCTATTATGAACAAAGCTGCTATGAATATTTGCATTCAGGTCATTGTATGGACATGTGTTTTCATTTCCCTAGGATAAATGTTCAAGAATAACAATGCCAGGTGTATGGTAAGTGGGTGTTTGGTTTTGTAAGAAATTGCCAAAAAATTTTGCAGACTGAGCGGCTTTGTCATTTTACATTCTCACAGCGACACGTCAGTGATCTAGTTTCTCCATATCCTTCTTAGCATTTGGTGTTACTATTTTTTATTTGAGTCATTCTGATAGGTTTATAGGGATATTACCCCATACTCAGATTGATTATTATTTGTGTTTTCCAAATGGCTAATGATTTTGAACATATTTCATGTACTTATTTGTTATCTGCTATTCTCTTTGGTGAAATTTTTATGTCGTTTTTATTTTATTAGAGAGAGTACACATGAGTGGGGGAGAGGGGCAGAGAGAGAGGGAGGGAGAGAGGGACTGACAGAATCTCAGACAGGATCCATGCTCAGTGTGGAGCCACAGGGCTTGATCCCATGACCCTTGGGACCATGATCTGAGCTGAAATCAAGAGTCAGACACTTAACTTACTGAGCTACCCGGGTGCCCCTTTATGTCATTTTCTAATTGGGTTGTTTAAGAGTTCTTTACATATTTTAGATACAAGTCTTTTGTCCAGTATGTGGTTTACAAATATTTTCTCTTAGTCTGCAATTTTGTCTTTTGAAGGAAAAATATCTTTTACATAGCAAACATTTTTTAAAATTTAAATTAATTTAATTTAAAAATTTTCTTTTATGAATTGTGCTTTTGGGTCCTAAAAATTTTTCTCCTGTTGTTTTCTAAACATTTTTTAGGTTTCCATTTTACATTTAAGTTTGTGACACATTTTTGAGTTAATTTTTATATAAGTTGTGAGGTTTAGGTAGAACTTTATTTTTGCCTATAGGTATCTAATTATTCTCCCAGTGTCACTTGTTGAAAGACTGTTCTTCTCATATTATATTGGTTGTATACTTTTTGTCAAAAATCAGTTGGGACAACTCAAAATTCTTCAGCAGATGAACGGTGTTTTTTTTTTTTTTAAGTTTGTTTATTTTGAGGAGGGGAGAGAGTGCGTGTGTGCATCGGGGAGGGGCAGAGAAAGAGGGAGAGAGAAGAAAATCCAAGCTGGCCCTGAGGCTCAATCTCACAAACTGTCAGATCGTGACCTGAGCCAAAAGCAAGAGTCCGACCCTTAACTGACTGAGCCACCCATGCGCCCCAACATGTGAATAGTTTAAACAAACTGCGGTACATTCACACCATGGAACACTCACAGCTCAGTGAGAAAGAAAACCAACTACTGACTTACACAACAACTTGGATGGATCTTAGAGAATTATGCCAGGTGAAAAAAAGTAAATGTCAAAGATTACATGTTATATGATTCCATTTATGTAGTATTCTTTTAAAAAAAATTTTTTTTAATGTTTTATTTATTTTTAATTTAAAAAAAAATTTTTTTTTTATGTTTTATTTATTTCTAGGAGAGAGAGAGACAGCGTGAGCAGGGGAGGGTCAGAGAGAGAGGGAGTCACAGACCGAAAGAGGCTCCAGGCTCTGAGCTGGCAGTCAGCACAGAGCCCGACGCGGGGCTCGAACCCACAACCGCGAGATCATGACCTAAGCGAAAGTCGGACGCTTAACCGACTAAGCCACCCAGGCGCCCCTATTTTATTTATTTTTGAGAGAGAGACAGCATGAGCACGGAGGGTCAGAGAGAGAGGGAGATAGATACAGAATCTGAAGCAGGCTCCAGGCTCCGAGCTGTCAGCACAGAGCCGGACATGGGGCTTGAACCCACGAACCATGAGATCATGACCTGAGCTGAAGTCAGACACTTAACCGACTGAGCCCCCCAGGCTCAGTATAGTATTCTTAAAATTATGGAGCTGGTGAACCAGCCTAGTAGTTACCAGGAGCTGGGGAGGGAAGAGGAGCTAGAGAAAGGACCATGGCTGTACCTAGAAGGTAGCCCCAGGGGCGCCTGGGGGCTCAGTCGGTAAAGCTTCGGACTCTTGATTTTGGCCCACATTGTGATCTCATGGTTTGTGAGGCTGGGCTCCATGGGAGCCTCCCTCCCTCCCTCCCTCCCTCTCTCTCTCAAAATAAATAAGCATTCCCCTCCCCCAAGAAAAGGGTAGCCCAGGCATCCTTGTCACGGAGCTATTTTTGTTTCTTGACCGCAGTGATGTCATGTGCACCTACATATGTGCCAAAATGGCTAGGAATTAAATGCAAGCAAATGAGTGCGTGTGAACCCGGTGGAGTCTGAACAAGCTTGCTGGCTTGTATCCATATTAATCTCCTGGCTGTGATATTGTACTACAGTTTTGCAAGACATTACCATTGAGGAAATTGAGTGAAGGGTATACAGGATTCTTGTGTAATTTTTGTTTTAGCTGCAATGTGAATCTATAGTTATCTCAAAATAAAAAGGGAAAAGCAAAATACACGTTATCTCTATTCCTCAAAAACGAAAACAGAACTCAGCCAGATATATCTGTGTGACTGTATTTCTAGGTTTTCTATACTGGTCCACTGATCTGTGTGTCTGTCTCTCGAGAAATAGTTCACTATCTTGATTACTGTAGCCATTATAGTAAGTCTGACAGCCAGTGCAGTGATTTCTTTATTATTCTTTTAAAAATTGTTTTAGCTCTTCTGTGTCCTTTGTCTTTCCATATAGATTTTATAATGAGCTCGTCTATATTTACAAAAATCCTTTCTGGGAGTTTCATAAGAATTGTGTTAAACCTATAGACCAGTTTGTAGAGAATTGACATCTTTACTCCGTTGAGTGTTTTAAACCATGAACATAGTCTGTCTCTGTTTATTAAATCTTAGATTTCTTTCATCTGGCTTTGTAGTTTTTAGCATACAAATCCTGTACAGGCTTTATTAGGTTTATATCTAAGTATTTCAGTGTTTTTGAGCAATTGTCAGTAGTATTTATTGTATTTTTAATTTCTGTATCCACATGTTCATTGTTACCATATGCAAGCGTGATTAGTTTTTGTAGTTTGTACCCGGTAACTTTGCTGACTCATTAGCTGTAGGAGATCGTTTTCTTGTTATTTATTTTTTAGGAATTTTTAAAACCTGGATTACTCGGGATTTTCTACATAGGCCATTGTATCACCTGAAATAACGATGGTTCTGTCTCTTCTGTTCTCCCTGTGTCCAGCTACCTGCCTGTATACGCTGACGTGCAGGAGCCCTTCGTGTACCTGCAGAGCAGCCACGTGGAGGTCAGCAGCCTGTACCTGGGCGTGCCCGCCAAGGCGACCGCGACACTCGTCAATGGCACACTCCTGCCCACCCGGTTCCACTGGGGCAAGGTGAGCGGCCGCCCGGCCAGGCACCAGGCTGCGGCCCTCAGCGCCGAGGTCCCTGCGGGGAGGGACGCTGCACCCCAGGCGCTCCCCAGGAGACAGGCTCACCTCTCCCCCGCGGCCTGTCCGTTGCCCCGCCACGTACAGAAACGCTGGGCTCCTTGAAGGAGCGGCACGTCTGGTCCAGTTTTCCCTGCCCTGCCTTCGGAGGGTCTCAGTTCCCTCCCTGAGCGGGAGGTGCTGGGGCAGCCAGCTCGGCACACCCCGCCAGCCCAGCCCGTGACCGGTCCACGCGGCAGCAGGAGCCCATCCAGGCGCCGCCCGAGGGGCTGCTGTGGCGCTTGCCTCACGTGCCATGGTGGGCAGCGTGGTGCCCGTAGAGGCAGGTGCCCTCTGCTCCCCAGCACCCTAGACCTCCCGGGGCAGCTCGTCTAGCCCAGCAGCTCCTGGCAGGGGTGAGGCTCCTGCAGGGTCGGGAAGGGGACGCAAAAGGACCGGCGGGTTATCCCACCCATGAGCCCCCCCCCCCCCCCCGGCCGGGCACGCTGCCGTGCTGAGCGCTGTCTGGACCCTGGGTCCACGCAGCGACCCCAGCGCGTGCCAGCAGCCCCGTCTGTGTGTCTGCCAGCTGCTGGGGCGCCAAGCACACCTCTGCACCGCCAAGGTGTCCCCGAGACGCGGCACGCTGGGCCCCAGCGAGGAGCGCCAGCTCATCCTGGAGTTGACGGCCCACACCCAGGTGGGTGAGGTGGCTGGGGGCTGGGGGGCCAGGGGGCACCCTATGGCTCTGCACGGGCAGGGAGGCCTGCCTCGATTGGGTCTGGGGTCCCCATTGCTGTGAGGCCTGCTCTCTACAGATACAAGGTCAGGGAGCCCGGAGCAGGCCCCAGCGGGCCCATGTCTGGCCTTCGGCCCCAGCTGACCGCCCCCCCAACCCCTGCAGCCAGAGGTGGGCCCCGCTTTCCAATTAGATGCTGGGGGGCTGGAGGTGGCCTCCCTTCCCAGGAGGGGCCCCGGCGCGGCCCCAGGAAGGCCGTCAGGGCTGGTTGCTGGCTCTCTGTTTGTGGGTCTTGTGGGGAGATGCACAGACACAGTCTCGCTTCCTCACGGACACACGTGGAAGCCGTAGACTTTCTTTCTCAGCTGCGTCTGAGCTCGAGGGTGATGGGCAAGTGGGCTCGGGCGCAGAGCGGACCTCACGTGGGAAGGGCTTTATTTCTGTCGTAGCAACGTCAGAGTAAGCGTGTCGCTTCTCCAGGGGCCCTCCCAGGGGTCTCCCCTCCTTCAGGCCCCGATGTGTGGAGCGGGCTGAACCAGGAGCCCGAGGAAGGCGCCAGGCGAGGCTCCCTGAGGGAGGGACCGGGGACGCTTCCACGGAGTGAGACTGCACAGAGGCGCAGACCTTTGCGCTGGGCGCCCCACGGCGGCCACCGTGCGAGGGACGACATCTGAGGCCGCCCCCGGGCTGGGCTGCAGTGACGTGTCCCCGGGGGGCTCTCTTACAGCACGAGCTGAGCGACCTGGCCCTCCCTTGCACGGTGTCAGGCATGAAGGAGCCGCTGGTCCTGGGCATTTCTGGGAAGCCCCAGGGACTGCAGGTGGCTATTGCCATCTCTGCGGGGGACCCTGACGGCAGGTGAGCCCGGGGCCGGGGGGTGAGTGACCGTACAAGGGACGAGCCTACCAGTGGTGCCCTGTGGGACCAGCACACTCCCAGCTGATTCCGCGCCAAGAAGGACCCTCACCTCCTCTGTGGGAACAGGCCTCCCTACGCAGCCCTGGCCTGTGCGCCCCCCCCCCCACTTGCCGGCGTGATGTCCGGGCGGGTCGGAGCCCCAGGGACAGGCCGCAGGCAGCCTGGACTTTCCCACAGGAGGCCCGTCGCCCAGGGGCAGGGAGAGTGTATGGAGTTGAGGCCCCGCTGGCCACTCGGGTGTGTCCTGGGGTGACAGCTGAGCGGGAGGCGGTGCAGGGTGCACCTCGCGTGCGGGCAGCTCTCGCACTCCCACCCAAGCGGGCTGGCCGGGCAGGGCCAAGGGCGGCGTGTAACGTGGTGCCCCGGGCCCGGGACAGTGTCCCCGGCGCAGAGCCGCGACCAGACCGCCTGGAGGAGCTCCGCCTGGACTTTGGCTCCACGGTGCCCCTGTGGACCCGCGTGAGCCGCCAGCTCATCCTGACCAACCGCTCCCCGATACAGACGCCTTTCACCCTCAAGTTTGAGTACTTCGGGAGCCCCCAAAACAGCCCGAGTCGGAAACCCAGCCTGTAAGTGTGCTTTTCCAGGCGCAGGTCCCGGCGGGGGGCGGTGGCTCAGGTGGCCAGAGGCCGGCCCGTGTCAGGAGTGAGATCTCCGTGCTCTGAGACGGGAGAAATGCGGAGAAGCAGTTCCCGCCGGCCCACCTCCCACACCCTGGGGGGGCCTGCGGGAGAGGCTGGGGTCGTGGCGAGGTGGAAGGTTCCGGTAGGTCAGGCAGGTGCTGTGACAGAGGCATTGTGCAAAGCTCCGACTGGAACTCAGCCAGGCAGCAGTAGTTACACCCCAGAAATCGGCGGTTCACCAGCAGACACCTCACCGCTGACCCTCTCAGGTCAGGGGGAGCCCAGCACAAAAACCATGGCCGTGGGTGGCGGGAGCCACCAACGGTTTATGACCCTTCACTTCCCTGCTCTAGGGAAGTTAGCGTTCGCTCGATGCCGGGCCTTTTGCAGAAGGCTGGCTGCGGGGTGGGCTTGTATCTGGGATCCTCAGGGCCCAGAGCCCAGGCCTGACTCCCTACCCAGCGTCCTCCGGCACTTCTCAGAAGGCATCCCCAGGCTGGAGGGTGGCCTGTAGCTGGGGTGCTTTGGGTGGCAGGGGTGTGGCCGGCCCCAAGGGAGGTGGGCAGACCTGAGTCCTCCCCTGAGAGGGTGCTGGTCTCTGGGAGAGGGGGTTCAGCTCTGGGGACAGCCCTGACGGCTCCATGCTGTTTCCGGGTCGTCTGGTAAAGCCCTGACATGCCCCCTGCCCTGCTGAAGACGTCACGGATTCGAGAACACTTGGCCAAGCGAGAACGGCTGAGTAAGAACCCTGGGGTGGGCCAGAGCGGGGTTTCCTGGGCGTCCTCAGGCTGTGGGCTGCTGGCCGCGGGGAGGGGGCCCTGGCCACAGACCCCACGTCAGCGCCTTTTCTAGCAAGACCGCTGAGAGGGCCATGGCCCTCCGGGGCCCCCTTTGGATGGAGGCCATCTTCTGGCCCATGCACAGGGCCTGGTTTTCACTGCGTTGGGTGGCAGCTCCTAACAGACGTTTCCCACTGGGGTGTGGCCCCCAAGGGGCAGAGAAGGGTTCTGGGCTCCCGGGAGGAGGGCGGTGGAGCGGCTGGTCTGGTGGGTGCGGTGCTGACTCCTGAGGTTTGGACCTCAGCCCTCCCCGGGGGCCCTGAATCTCCGCTCTGGCTCCCGCCCAGCCCTGATGGAAAGCATGCTGTCCCACGGGAAGGGGGCCGCCTTCTTCGCCTGCCCCCCCCAGGGCCTGCTGGGTGGCCACCAGCAGCTGCGCGTCGACGTCGCAGGCTGTGCCAACATGTGGGGCGAGTACTGGGACGACCTCGTCTGCACGGTAGGGACTCGCCCCGGGCCCTGTGCCCCCCGCCCCCGGCCCCCTGCCCCCCGCCCCGCAGATCTCTGCAACGGAAGCCATGCCCATGAGCTGGGGACGGGCATTCGCATTCGCGGCAACGACAGGGACGCGGGCAGGAGGGGCCCTCATGAACAGAACCTCCCACCCCTTCTCCGCGCTGGGGAGGGCATGGGAATCTGATGGGCCCGGATGCGTGGCCCGCGGGGCAGCGGGTGTGGACAGGCAGGAAGGGCCTCCCAGAGCCACACTGTCACCGGCCCTGGACGCATCCCCTGGCTCTCCCGTGGGCCCTCCACTCACCCGGCGTGACGCGGGCGCCTGCTGCGCGTGGGCTCCGTGTGGAGGACACAGGGACAGTTGAAAACCGGTCCTTGGGGTGGGGGTGGGGTGGGGTATGTTGTCCTGTTAGGGGAAGGGAGGCCCTGACCCGGGGGGACGGGGAGCCAGGGAGTGCCGTGGCAGCAAGGGTGACAAAGGACCGGCGTGTGTGCAGGTGGGGGACCTGCCGCCCGTCGTCATCCCGGTGCACATGGCGGTGGTGGGCTGCCCCCTCAGCTCCCTGAGGACCACCTACTGCACCATGGACCAGGTGCAGAAGGAGCCTGTCATCAGGTGACCCTTCCCCCACCAGCCTCATCCTCTAAGCCTTGAAACCCTCTGCCTCCAGCGCGGCTGCCCACCCCGCCGGTGGCTCTCCAGCTGCCCGAAGCCGCTTGGTGCCACCCAGCAAGAAGGCCCCAGGGCAGGGCTGCCCCGGGGAGAGAGGCCTCCGGGGCCATGGCTGCTGTCCCACGTTGCGGAGGACTTGGGGGGGGTGGCAGAGGTAGCAGATAGTCCGTGTGGCCTGAGGTCAGGGCCGGGCCTGGGGCCCCGCACCACGAGAGGGGATCAGCTGGGTCGGTGGGGGGACAGGGGGCGTGGGTGCTACCAGGCCACCGCACGGGGAAGGCCTCCAGCCCAGGGCCCCCGCGACTTCAGGACGGACCAGTGTGGGCCTCCTCCCTGCCTCAGCCCCAGCCCCTCCCTGAAGCAGGCCTGAGTGGGGGGGCGGGGGGGCCAGGCCTGCGCGGGGGGCGGGGGGGGCCAGGCCTGAGTGGGGGGGCGGGGGGGCCAGGCCTGCGCGGGGGGGCGGGGGGGGCAGGCCTGCGCGGGGGGGGCGCGGCTAGGGCTGCACTGAGCCTGCTCTCCCGCCTCCAGGTTTGGCACCCAGGTCTCCGGGGGAGACACAGTCACGCGGGTCCTTCGCTTGAACAACTCCAGCCCCTGCGGTAAGGGGCTCGCGCTCAGGCTGTGCCGGGCGGTGGGCGAGGCCCGGAGGGACTCGGGGACCCAGGAATCCAGGAGCCTGGCTACCGAGGACCCTGAGGGCCAGGCTGGGGCGAGGCCAGCGGCGGGCCATGTCAGTGACAGCTGCTTTCGTCCTGAGCTCCGGGCTTGCCCTTGCCCAGCCCGGGTCCCTGAGTGTGCGGGGCCTCGGATGCTCTGTTCTCTCAGGCTCGCTCTGCATCGGGACACACACGGGCAGGGGCACCTTCCCTCGTCTGCTTAGCCAGCCGTCCCTGAGCCGCAGCCAGGTGCCAGGCAAGCTGCTGGGGATCCAGGGGCACAGCACGGCCGAGTCTCCACGGAGAGGCTCCTGTGCTGACGGGGGTGCTGAGTGCATCCAGGGGACTGCTGGAGGGTCGCCTGGAGGGGTGCAGGCCCCCCACCCCGTGGAGGGGCGTCCAGGCCACGCCCAGGAGGGAGGACGAGCCGGCCCAACGCGGAGCGTCTGGGCCTCGGAGGAGCTTCGGCACCTGGAGGAGGAGGGGTTCTTCACCTTGAGGCTAGGCCACCCCATGGCTGAGCCTGAGTCTCCGGCGGGCAGGGCCCGGGCAGTTCCGTCTTTAAGCTCCTTGGTGGTCGTTAGGGATGTGCAGCAGTTGGGGGGCGCGGGGGACGGCAGTCCATGACCTGCTCAGTTTGCCCACTGGGTCCGGGTGGTTAGGAAAGGGACACTGAATTCGCGCTCTCGTCAGCTTTATTAAGATCTCCTGGCTTCTCCAGGGGCGCCTGGCTGGCTCAGTCAGTAGATCATGTGACTCTTGACCTCATGGTTGTAAGTTTGAGCCCCACGCTGGGTGGAGAGATTATGTAAAACTAAAATCTTTATTTTTTATTTTATTTTATTTCTTTAAAAACTAAAATCTTTAAAAACAAAATCTTCTGGGGGCGCCTGGGGGGGCTCAGTCGGTTGAGCGTCCGACTTTGGCTCAGGTCATGATCTCACGGTTTGTGGGTTCGAGCCCCACTTTGGGCTCTGTGCTGACAGCTCAGAGCCTGGAGCTGCTTCAGATTCTGTGTCTCCCTCTCTCTCTGCCCCTCCCCTGCTCACGCTGTCTGTCTCTCTCTCAGAAATCAATAAAAAAATTAAACAAAACAAAACAGAACCTCCCGCTGTTTCCAGCAGTTTCACTTTTAGCTGCTGTGTTGTTAGCCGGTGGAGACCCACATCTCATCTGTGCCCGTCCCTGTTCTCACCCCGTGTCATTTTGAGAAGTTTCTTGGTGAGCAACCAAGAGAGCGGAGCTCTTTAAAAGCCCCACCTGGCATTGTCTTCTAATAGGAGAAATCAATGATAGATTTCTTCCTTGTTTTGTGATTCATTTTACTTGTTCTTTCTCGTGCTTTTTGTGACTTTGTTCTGTTTCCTTTTTGTTTAATGTGGAATTTCTCTCTCCTTCCTTCCTTTCGGTGGTTCCCTTCCCGTCCCCAGGGGCTCATCATGTGCACATTTCTGTCCTTACTGAACTTCAGAGAATGGAGGTCACTGGTGGCCTTGGTGAGAGGGATTTGGTGGGTTTAAGAGGCAGATGCCAAGGTAATAACTTGAAGAAATGCAAGCTCGGCCCCCAGGGGTGCTCACCAGGCCTCCCGCAGGGCTGGGGAGTGGCTGAGAGCAGAGGACGGTAGGCGATGGTGGACTGGGCCCGACTGGTGTGCTGTGCAGGTAGAGGTGGTCCTGGGGAGGTCGTCTGGCAGACGGAGGCTTGTTCAGGGTGGGGACGACTGGCCTTCCCCTCACGCTCTTGGAGGCTAGAAGGGGGGACCTGGCTGGCCCCAAGAGGGGAGGGGAGGCGGCACAGACGCCTGGCGGTACATGAGCGTGTGGGGATGGGGCGCCAGGGCTGTCTGGATCTGGGGCCACAGGGGGCAGCACACGTGTCAGAGAGCAGGGAAGGCGTGACATGGGGACCAGAGGGTCAGTTCGGTTCTCCAGGGCTAGGCTTTGCCAGGTGAGTGGAAGCATGGGGGTCACGGGGGGGGGGGGGAATCCTGGCAAGATGGTGGCGCCCAGACTAGCCTGGCTGGGGAAGGAAGTGAGAGCATCTGGAGGTGACAGACGGAGGGGAGAGGGCGGAGGGAGAGGCTGGAGGGCCTGGGGGAGCTGCGGGGAGAGTCACAGATGCAGCCCTAAGGTGCACTTGGCCGTGAAGGCATGCAGGCCTCCTCCTGCAAGGGGGCACCGCGCCTCCACCCTGCGCGCAGAACAGGCACCATCAGGGCTTGCAGGACAGGGTCCAGGGAAGACGCGTCCGCCCCGCCTCAGCCCTCACCCCCTGCCCCAGATATCCGCCTGGACTGGGAGACCTACACTCCGGAAAACAGGGAGGACCGGCTGGTGGAGCTGCTCGTGTTCTACGGGCCACCCTTCCCGCTGCAGGACCAAGCAGGGAACGACCTCTCGTGCCCAGAGACCCCTGAGGGCAGCAGCTCCTTCTGGTCCCCGAGCCCCTCCAATGAGTCTGAGTCCAGCCATGAAGCTGTCCAGTCTGTGAGCAGGGGGGAGGTGGGGGGGCGGGGGGAGGAGGAGGCAGGGGGAAGGAGGAGAGGCAGGGGGAGGAGGAGGCAGGGGGGAGGGAGAGG